GGCAGATTGTTCCAAAGTTTAGGGCCCACGACTGAAAACGCTCGATCTCCTCTGAGCTTCAGTCTGGTTTTTGGTACGGCCAAAAGCAGCTGGTCTGATGATCTCAAAGCCCGAGAAGGAGTATAAGGATGAAGAAGGTCAGAGAGGTATGATGGTGTGAGGCCATTAATGCACTTGAATGTCAGCAGGAGAATTTTAAAATCAACTCTGACACGTACAGGAAGCCAGTGAAGAGAGGACAGAACCTGAGTAATGTGTTCAAACCTGCGAGTTCCTGTTAGTAGCCGAGCTGCAGCATTTTGTACGAGCTGGAGACGTGAGAGTGAAGCCTGACTGACCCCAACATAAAGTGAGTTACAGTAGTCCAGCCGGGAAGTAATAAATGCATGGACTACTTTTTCAAGGTCAGATCTGGCCAGAACGGACTTAAGCTTTGCTATCTGCCTTAGCTGAAAGAAGCTTTTTTTGTAGAACAGAGTTGATCTGTTTATTAAACTTAAAGTCTGAGTCTAAAACTACCCCGAGATTGGTAACTGACTGCTTTAGATGAGGCTGAAGGGAGTGCAGGTTTACAGGATCAGTGACAGTGGCAGAGCTTGGGTTAAACACAATGACCTCAGTCTTCTGATCATTAAAACTCAAGAAGTTTGCAGCCATCCAAGTCTTGATGTCATCAAGACATTTTAGCAAAGGGTGAATGGAGCAAGAACTGTTTGGTTTTAAAGGTAGATAGATCTGAGAGTCATCGGCGTAACAGTGAAACGAAATACCATGTTTCCTCAGGATTGACCCCAAGGGGAGCAGATACAATGAGAACAGAAGGGGTCCAAGAATGGAGCCTTGTGGGACCCCACAGGAAAGAGGGACAGAAGCACAAAAATGATTGTCAAAGTTAACACAGAAACTCCTGTCACCCAGATACGAACGGAACCATTCTAGCGCCACCCCTGTAATCCCAACCCAGTGTTCTAGCCGTGACATAAGGATGCTGTGATCAACAGTGTCAAATGCAGCGGTAAGGTCAAGGAGTACCAGGATCACAGACTGACCAGAGTCATTCGCTAGCAGAATGTCATTACAGACCCTTACTAAAGCTGTCTCGGTGCTGTGCAGTTGTTTAAATCCTGACTGAAAAATCTCAAAAATTCTATTTACATTCAAAAACTTGGTTAGTTGACTAAAAACTATTTTCTCCAAGATTTTAGAAAGGAATGGAAGTTTTGAGATTGGCCTGAAGTTAGAACAAGCTGCTGGGTCAAGTCCGGGTTTTTTAATTAATGGAGTTACCACTGCATGTTTTAAAACATCAGGGACCACCCCTGTAGCCAAACTGCTGTTAATAATGGCAAGAACAGAGGGTCCAGTTGACGGTAGAACCTGTTTAAAAAATGCAGCAGGGATGGGATCAGCAGGGGAGCCTGAGGGTTTCATGGGACCAACGACCTCATTTAAAAATGAGAGTGAGATGGGGTCAAAGTGACTGAAGACTACTGAGCAGGGGACAAGAACTGAAGGGTCGGCTGTGGAGTGTGGAATTGATGACCTAATCGACTCAACCTTTTCAACAAAATGCCTGACAAACTTAGTACAGGTGTCAACAGAGGCCTCAATGGTGGCAGACTGAGGCACGTTTAGAATGGTGTTAATGGTGCTGAAAAGAACACGGGGGTTGTGACTGTTTGAGTTGATAATTTTTGAGAAATATTTGTTTTTCTCCTGTTTAACGGTGGTCTGATAGGCTTTCCAACATGTTTTTACCATCTCAAAAGACACCTGAAGATAAATAAAGGTAAATGAAAAAAATGAAATTCTCTGCTGCTGCCAACTCACAGTTCTTTCTATTTATTTATCAGTTCTATTATACTCCTTATTCCCTGAACCTTCAGTCTTGCCCAGATCACTAACTCCCTTATCTCTACAGATCAGACCTGGGCCTGGAACCAGACCTCCACCTGCGGCGATTTATCAATAAATCATTTTAACCATTCCTGACTTGTTTTGTCGTGCATGAATCCTAAAACCCAATCTTGTCAGTTGTATAAGTTTAGTCTTTGTTTATTATCAGATAACACTTACTCATTTTGTACAGTATTTAATAGGTTGTGTAATGTAAAATTGACACTTTTACATACTGAATTTCAGAGTTCTTGCCCTGTGTCATTCTGTGGCTTGAAAACATCTACTACAGTAACTTTTTGAAGTTTAGTAGCTTATAAAAATTTTTTCTGTCTTCTTTGCCTTAATGTTGACTAAGGCAGAAATGTCTCACTAAATGCCTCAAGTAACACTGAGCTTCACTACCTCCACCATTACAGCTATCTTTGTTTGTTTGTCCGAGGTTAGCTCACTCTGGGTTACATTTCCTCGTGGGTGGAGCAATCTTACCGTTAACGTAATATATTTGTTAATGTTTTTATAGAAACAATTCCTGAATGTTGTTCATACTGTGTTAATGCTACATGTTCTCTTGACCCTAATGTTACAGTAAACCTAGCGCCTTACTGGAGTTTGAATTAAGTAATTTAAGCTACTAATAAACATGGATGATGATCATATAGCTTTATGCTAGGCCATTAGTAAGAAGTTGTGATTATTATACTTTAATATTGGCTAGTGACACCCCCCCCCCCCCCCCAAAAAAAAGTTAACTTAGGCTACACTGTTTCTTACGCTGTGACTAGAATGTGTGAGTGGAGTAAATGGACTGTACTTATTTAGCGCCTTTCTATCTTACCGAGATACTCAAAGCACTTTACACTACAATCTGTGCCTCATTTACACATTCATACAGCACTCTACTCGATCTCTACAAAGATGATTGAACAAGTCATTCTAATGAGACTAATCAGAGCTTTTTCACATTCATACACCGATTGGACACATCGGAGACATTGAGGGGTTCAGTGTCTTGCCCAGGGACACTTCGACATGTGACTGCAAGTGGATTCAAACTGGTTGGTGGATTGCCTGCTATTTGTGTTCCAGCATCAGTCGGTTTACAAGTCCTGGTCTAGACCTACTTTAAAGGGATTGTTCAGGCATTTTAGAGTAAGTCTCTGTAGAAATATATTTAAATATTTATCAACTTCTTTGTTGTAGCTAACTTTTTGAACAATCTCTGTTTGTAGAAAGATAAATTAATTTTGACCAGATTGACAAGCTAAGGGCTAGTCTGAGCTAAGACCAAAGTGGATCGGTATTTAAAAAACATTTACACCACTGTTAGTTTCTCAAACATTTATTTAGATAAAATTCAGTACATAATTTTGACAGCAGCATCTTGCTGTATCATATCTGGTGGAGCTTGTGACACTTCCTGCAGGAATCACAGTGTATTGATAAACCGAGTGCAGTGCAAAGATCTTCGAGATGTTTTGAGAAAAAAAAAGTGTGTGTGTGTGAGTGAACCGACCCCCCCTTTCATTTGAGGAAAATATGCATTCTAGTTTTTTTTTTTTAATTATTTATTAAAAGTATAGTTTTGTCAAATAATTGGGGTGGCCAGAGATTAATCTATGGTAGCCAAGGCCCCCATTGGCTTCTCCCCGGCTTCACCTTGTGAATAAAATAACTCCCTCCTCTCCATTCGTCACACTGCGCTGCCTCAGAAAAGGAAAAAAAAACTTCCTTTGTTCTTCTCCAGTGTAAATCCTGCCCACTTGAATATCTTGCACCAAAAACACAAAGGTTTACTTTCATTTCCTGTTCAATTCCAGTGAGACAAACGCTCCAAAACTACAAACATTCACTATTCAAATCCCTCAGGGACTGGAGACATTGGCTTGTTACTTCTTTGGCTCTTCACAACCTTATTTTACAAGACCTCCCACTGCATCCTGACACTCTCAACATGCTGGTTTATTTGTTTCTCCTAGAGTCTGTAAAACTGGAATAGGAAGCAGAGCTTCTGTAATTTCAATGTCTCTTGTGACTCACTTCAAGCATCCTGCTTTTTAAACAAAACTTAGCTCTCTGAAACAGACCATTTAGTTTTCTGTGTATAGTCTCTTCACATGTGAGTGTGAACCTCTTTTAACCTGTATGTAATCATTCCTAACCATTATTATCCCCTTTTAATTGTGTCCTTAATTCATTAAAAATCACATAATATATATATTAATGCTGTATGTAAATATACTAAATGGCATTCAAATATTGTATTAAACATAATCCAATTTTTACATTTAGTACATTGGGTAAGAGAGGTGATGTGCCTTATCCATCTGGAAAAGATCAGACACCCTGAAGGGTTCTGTAGGACGATTCTGGGACACCTGGCAGCCCTTTGTGTCATTTGCTGAGAACTTGTGTAGATTTTTTTGTGTATGTGTGACTGGGCTGGTGTGTGAAGGGATTTTGTTCTGTGTTCTTTTGTTTTGTTCCATTTTCTTTGTGTAAAAAAAGCAACAACAAAATAATTAATAAATACTTTGTTTAAAAAAAATTACATTTAGACATTATAAAGTGGTGCTTTATTAATAAACCGGACAATAATGTTTTTCAAAGCTTAAATGATTTTGTTTAGAGCCGCAAAGATGAGACGGAAACTATTTTTGAGAAAGCGAATATATTTAATTCCTTATTAAAAAGCATAAATAAAACATACAAGCAGGAGATGTTTTTGTTCATCAGACCCTCCCAAGAATCAAAAGGCACTTTGTAACTTGACTCATTTATCTGCAAAATACAAGGCATTAATTTAGTCTATATACACACATGTACACATAACGCTAGCTTTTTTTCTTAAAGGTCAGTAAACATGTTGAATAATCCTGTGGAGGCTGACAAAGAGCAAAGACCGCACAGCTATAAAAAAGAACAAACATGGAGTTAGTCTCAGAAATGAGCAGCAGGTTACAGACTATAAACCGATCAGTTCCGTCTTTGTTTTATTTACAATCAAATAAACTCTCGTTACTTCATGGCCACTGTCAGGCAGATCACAAATGATCACGTAGGGATCTTCTGACAGTCCTGTAGTCTTCAGTGTCTGTCCTCCTTCAGTAGCTCTGGGCTACGGGTGCCCAGGTGGCTGTGAGCCTGGCAATGGAGCTCTCAAACTGAGCGTCCCCGACCTCACTCAGGCCGGGGTCGTACATGGAGGACGGCGACGAGACAGGAAGTGAAGAGGTCAGGCTGGTGTAGGAGGAGCCCCTTAGGAACTGGGAGGTGAGACCCCCAGGTGTGGAGCTAGAAGAGGAGCCCGAAGGCGTGAGCGTGGTGCCGGTGACCGACCAGAGGCTGGGGTACTGACTGCGGACGAGACAGGACACATTAAGATTGCAGACCTATTCCAGAAACCTCTATCTGTGAAGGAAGTCTCACCTGGAGCTGGAGTTGGTGGTGTGGGACAGAGTCCCCATCCCTGTGGAGTTAGGGATCTGAAGGGGGGACCAGCTGTCATGGGCAGGCAGAGTCCCTGAGCTGGCGTCCATGTAGTTGTCTGAAAATAAAGTTAGAAGGTCAAAATGAGAACCAGCTCTTTTGTTCAAACATCTTTCAGTGGCCTAAGCAGGGCTCCTTACTCGTGCTGGAGCTGCGGTGGGGGTAGTGGCCGGGGTACGGGGCCGCTCGGTGGCTCCTCAGGCCGGAGTAGCGCTCACAGTAGGAACCAGACGAGTGGCCCGCTGTGCTGCTGAACTGAGGGGGGCTGCTGCTGGGGCAGATGGGACTCTGACCGGGCAGGAACCAACCTCCAACTGTGGAGGAAAAGACAGAGCAGGGGGTGAAATGTAGACACCGAGGAACAAACAAACTCAAAGAACTCAGCAGAAACTCACGCTGAGAGTATCCTGACTGCTGACTGTCTGCGGTGTGCTCGGACAATTCCTTATGGTCACTCCTTGAATTAAAAAAAAACTACACTGAAATCCTCATTTTAAATATTTCAATTCAAGATGACGCTGAAGGTTTTACCTTTCTTTGGCATCCAGAAATGCTTTGGCGAACGGATTGTGTTTTATCTTCAAAGCAGTGATCTGTGTGAGGGATTAGGGCGTCAACATCTCAGATAAAACATCTGGAGCACAGCTTCACAGTGAGAAGACAAACAGACCTCCTCATTCTGGTACGCTGTGACGGCAATGAACTGAGTTTCAGGGAACGACTGACTGCTGATCATTTTCTGGATGCCTCCAACCTTCACGATGTGGATCCTTGGCTCATACTTGTGCAAAGAATTCAGCATAATCTGCAAAAACAATCAATTTATACCATTTGAGCACAATAGTTTTGTATGTTAATTTAAAATTAAAGAGACTAGTCACATAAATGTATTTACAAGAAGTAAAAATTATATATTTATGTTTTAATTATATTATTATTATATTCATTCAACCTTTATTTATACAAGTTAATCCCACTGAGCCTCGAGAGACCTGAATTATATTTAAAATGAGACACTTTAGTGCAGAAAAATTAGCAAATCGAAGATTTTGTCCCTCTAAGTGGTGTTTTAATGGGTTTAAAGAAATATGAGCATCAGTTAAATTTGATTCCAGAACTCTCTCTCTCACTCACACACACACACACACACACACACACACACCTGTCCTCCTCCGTTCAGTTTGTTGGACAGCTTCACTTTGCTGAAGGACACCGGCGCCTTCAACCAGTGCGCACCAAAGTTCGGGGAGTCCGGGTGGATATAGACGCAGCTGGGACTCTGGGGCTCTGGTTTGCCCCCCGGGACCCACTCCCCGTTCACGTATTTCCAGCGGTTGTTGTCCGCGGCTACAAAATCCAGCAGCACCGAGTACATGGCGTTCGGGTCCAGTCCGGAGACGCTGACGCGGAGAACCGGAAACATCCTCCTGTAGAACAGGAGAAGTTTACTCTCAGGGACCTAACCTGGTACAAATCTTTGTACATTTTCTCATCCTCCCGAGGCTTCACGTGTCAGTCACTTCCAAACTTTTCATTTAACTAAATTTAAATCATTTTCCGATCCAACTTGCCCGCTACACACTGAGAAGCTCGTGCGTAAAACGTGTCCAGCCTGCGCGCAGAGCCCTCAGACTTACCTCCCAGTCTTGGTGACGATCATCTCGTTGGTGAGTTCTTTAAATTTGCTCCACAGCTCCGAGTCCTCCAGCGTCAACTTAATGTCCCTTTCCGACGCGTCCCCCTTCTCGCTGCCTTTCTGGAACTCGCTCTCCACAGCGCTCAGGAGGTGCTCCAGCCGCTGGTCGGGGTTAGAGGAGCTCATCTTTCCGGGTCAGCCACAATGACCTCAGAGGTTCTGACTCAAACCAGAGCACAAAATAATTTTTAAGCCCCGGGGCCTTCCTATTTAAGGGCGACCGAACTCTTGGGGTGTGTGGGCGTGGTATGTACGCGCACACATCGACTTTTACCCGCTCTTAGACTCCGCCTAAAATACCCTGAATTTCCACAAGACTGCAAGGTCATTAAGACAGGTGTACATATATATATATATATATATGTGTATATATATATACACACACATATATATATATATATATATGTGTATATATATACACACATATATATATATATATATATGTGTATATATATATACACACATATATATA